CAGCTGACACTTTGTAACAGTAATCACGGTATTATGTATACGTGTTATGGTTATCTGATATGTCCGTGGGCAGGAAATATTGATATATATATACTGATCTGTGGATTACATGCATGCAGGTACTACGTTAATTGCCATTACCGTAATCAACCACAATAGCGTACGTCCTGGAAGAGAAATCATGTATATTTCACGAGCACTTCAAATGGTATGTGTATAATTCCATTTCCCATGCGAAAGCTACGACAATTTACGACACGCCTCGATCATGTACTACAAAGGTAACAACACTGTGTCACGTACAGATCTATATCGTCATGATAACTTGAAACAAAGGGAGGAAAAAATAAAAGCGATCTGTCTAAACAGGCAAACTTATGATTAAGAACTTCTTTAAAGAAAGTGTATATATGAGGGTGAGGTGAGGTGAAATGGGGTTTAGCGCCGCGTGTATATAATTAGGTGGGTGAGGTGATGTGAGGTGAAATGGGGTGTAACGTCATGTGTATATAATTATGTGGATAAAGTGAGTTGAAATGGGGTTTAAAGTCACGTGTATATAATTAGGTGGGTGGGGTGGGGTGAATGGGGTTTAAAGTCACGTGTATATAATTAGTTTGGTGAGATGAGTTGAAATGGGGTTTAAAGTCACGTGTATATAATAAGTTTGGTGAGATGAGGTGAAATGGGGTTTAAAGTCACGTGTCTATAATTAGGTGGGTGAGGTGAGTTGAAATGGAGCGTAATGGCATGTGTATATTATTTCGTGGGTGAGGTGAGTTGAAATGGGGTTTAACATCTCGTTCATATAATTAGTTGGTGAGGTGAGGTGGTCAACTGGGATGTATCCTCATTTGTATATAATTAGGTGGGTGAGGTGAGGTGAGGTGAGGTGAAAGGGGACATGAACAAATGATAAATATAATTTGTTAGGTGAATTGAAATTGGGGTTAACGTCGCGTGTATATAGTTAGTGATGGGTTATGGTACATATTTGAACAAAATTGAAACTCTAGCTATTTTAGCACACTCAGTAAAATAATCCCACGTGTTTTGCGATCCCTTCTGGTGCCAGTGAAGAAAAAACGATTTGAATAATATTCATCTGCATGGCTGTAATATTACAAATTACAAATTACAAATCAAAATCGTGCACATGTGTAGTTTTTCAGGCGCCTAGGGGAAATGACGTTTGGTATTATCATGCCCTTATGTAATTTAAAAAATTGAAATCACAATTATTGTTTCACTTCCTGTTAAAACATTCAGCGATAACAATCTGATTTCACGCCAAACGCAACAGGTAAATTAAAAGAGACTTGATGGACTTCGAGTAACCTCTCTTCACTGAATTGACAACATTATGACCTGACCAGCACTTTTTGGAAAATATTATGTGTCAGGAGAGAAAAACTGAGAAAAAAAGTTGGTTTGCTTTAGTTTGGATGAAAAAATAGATATGCAAAACAATTATGAAACACATGATAGTTAAACATATTGCCCTTGTTGACGGCAAATCTGTGTCAGTACCAAAACACACGGTATATATTTATTCATTCGTACCGGTGTAACAGGAGCTACAGTATACAGTCAAGTCTCGTTAATCCGACATCGTTGGTTGCACATGATTGTGTCGGATTAACGAGTATATCGGATTAACGAAATTAAGTGATTTGTGATAAAAAATCGGACGTCTTCACGATAGATAATAACCCTGTGTACCTTGTACTTGAAATAAATGTTTGCAATTACTGGCAACTTTAAATAAACATTCCAGGTTATAGAAGCACGGACATGGGGAAACTGAGTTGAAGTTTAGTGGACTCGCGAAACATACGATAAATAGATTTGAACATTTCAGGTTTTCAAGAACACTGACATGAGGTTATTGTGTTCAGGTAGAGTTGGCTGTAGTGACAGAATGCATTCTCTTTGTAAATTTAGATATATAAAGTCAACACCAGTGAATAACCAGTCTCGATTATCTACGGAAACAGATTCCAATGGGCATAAATGGCAAAATAGTGTTTGTGGTATACAGCGTTGTTTGGACGAAGTCAGACAGGACGTTGTATTAACTTGTTATCAATGATCATTGACACATAGTCGTTAAAATCGGTACAAGCTGTTACAAAGTACAATGAAGCGAACACACAGCGAAAATGTATCACAAAAATGAATTAGAAAATAACGTCAATGCCAGAGAATAACTAGTCTCGATTATCCACCGAAATAGATTCCACAGGGAAGTACAAAATAGCGGTGCAAAAATATGAATAGATCACTGAAAATCTGTAATGACACCCGATGTTTGCACAAAACATGTGTCAATCCGAACAAATGTCGCGCTGATTAGTGTCTTGCGTCTGTTGAGCAGAAAGGAGCATACAGATAGACGAAAGGGTTCTCGGTAAAAGTGTATGTGAGTGAGTATGGTTTTACGCTGCTTTAAGCAATATTCCGCCAATATCACGGCGGGGGACACCAGAAATGGGCTTCACACATTGTACCCATGTCGGGAATCGAACCCGGGTCTTCGGCGTGACGAGCGAACGCTTTAACCACTAGGTTACCCGACCGCCCCTCTCGGTAAAAGGGGTGACAATACGAATTCAATGCACCTAGGTCGATCCTGTCACACGATCACTTCTTTATCAACATCAATTAGTGGTTTAACAATTTTAAAATAATTTATCTTAGTTGTTGAGACCGCCTCCGTGGTCTAGTGGCAGAGCGTCCGCCCGGAGAGCGGAAGGTCCGGGGTTCGATCCCCGGCCGCGTCATACCAAAAGACGTTAAAACATGGCACTTGTTGTTACCCTGTCTGGCGCTCGGCATAAAGGGGCTAAACAAGGACTGGTCGGCTCGGAGTCAGTATACTGTGTCTGAGTGGGGTATTCATGTTAAACTGCGGCATGGTATCTCAGTGAGCTAGCACTATAAATCGGCAATAGTCCGGACTAGTACCTCACCTTAGTTGTTGAATAATTTGTATGACTTGGTTTGAAATGATTCACGGTTCCAATATAAACATAAGAATTAATTTTATTAAACCATTTATCTACTTGTATAAAACTTAAAGCACTATACCTTGCAAAATAAATTTGGGCGTGACTTGTTTCTCTCAGTATAAAACACTTGTTTGTGTGTCCAGACTCGATTATTTACAGGCCGCTTTTATATAGCTGCTTGAATATTTGCTAAGTGCTGCGTCAAACAACAAACACACACACTCGAAGAACTGAATTGGTCTCATCCATGTCACGATACAGCAATGTTCATACACCTCGCCTCGCAAGGGAGGACTTTCAACCTTGAAGTGCTCAAGCTGTTCGTGCAAACCAGGATGTGAGAGGACTGTCAATAGTATCGTGTCGACACTATGACCCCACAAGTTAGCCTACTTACATGTAAGGTGTTTACATAGCCTACACGTCGCATCATCATTCCTTGGTAACTGACGTACAAGGAGAACAGGATTATATCCGGGTGGGCTGAATAACAGTTCTTAAACTGCGAGTCACTGTTCAACATTCACAACAAAGGTTTTTTCAATGTGTTATTTAATACCGTGGAGATTGACTTCATGAATTATTTCCGTGTGAAGAAATGCACCGACGCACTGGCGTGACGTACACTACTACACAAAAGTATTGGCTCTTCTGTACTGATCGATTTTTAAAATTGTTTTGCATACAGTGAAAACTCGTTAATCCAGACTGAGATTCCCAGTGATTTTCGAATATTTGCTACATGTATGTGAGTCCATGGTGTCGAAAATCTTAGAAATACTTAGAGGAGAAATGGAGTACGTGTATTCGCCCTGACTGTTTCTTGGTTTGTGAATGAGTGAGTGAGTTGGGTTTAACGCAGCTTTTAACAGTATTCCAGTTACATCACGGCGTGTCAGATTAATGTGGGAGGAAAGCCCGAAGTGATGCTGGTCTCAGACGTTTACCACTTCGGTGAAACCCACGAGCACGGGTATGGTGCTGACAAACCTAGAAACATAATCGGGGCGAACCGGGATTCGAACCCACAATCATAGGTTTCTGGAGTGCCAAGGGACGCAACTCTGCACAGCGAATCGCGGCGCGTTAGACGATTGATATATGTAAACGTTCCCGAAAACGGGTTTTCCTGACAAACATGGTATCTTTTCATAAAGCTTTGTTCTTTTAATACCAGTCAGCTACATTACGACTGCGTGTAAATAAACGAGTCTGGAACAGACAAACCAGTGGGTGATATTATGAGAAATGTCCTACGCCGTCGGTTTACGCTGACGCCTGTTCACCCATGTCATCAAGCCTGACCACCCGATCCATTGTAGTCACGTCACACTACAACCAGCAAAGTGCTGAGGATCAACTCTACCCCTAGTCCCCAAGGGACCCTAATATTGCATTAAAATAGATTTAAAATAATAAAGACATAATGAAACACATTTTTTAAAGATAAAGAGACAGAACCCTTACCATATTCATAAGAAATCACTGCCCAACGCAGAGTCGATTGTACGATTCCGACAAAATCATGAGCATGTGATTATGAATCAATATCAAATAGTAATGATACAAGGTGTTCGCGAAAAGGTGAGCGTATCCTGTCCCACCGGTGGGACCCGTCACAAACACATTAATGCAGCAGCCTTCAAAGAGGCATGTCCCGTGCTACTGCTTGAATATATAATGTATTTAGTTAAACTCAGTATCACAAATAACCGGTAATATTTATAGACAAGGATATTTATATATAACACCCTTATGTGTAACATGCATTAGTAATTTAATCAATTAGCAGGTTTGACAAGGTTTTACCATTCAAACCAATAAAGGATAGCAGTAGCGTTGATCTGCCAAACCTACATCATTTTCATTATAACCGGGTGTTGTGACAAGCCTGCTGAATGCTCATTGGAAAAATTTGTAAATGATGATGTTGATATTTGTAATGTATACATGTATTTATGCTGTAAAATGTTTTATTTCTATTTTCAGATTTATGTGCTACTATGCCAGACAGACCTAGTTACGTTAATGAAGACGAACAAAATGGGTCTTCTGCTGATTCGTTTCGCTTCGTTTAATCCTATACTGGATCCCTGGGTGTATATTTTATTTAGAAGAGAGCTTGTATGGAAGATTGTAAATGCCATAAAATGCATTCTAAGGATTGAACAAAAAAATATACAAAATGTAAAAACTCCTTTAAACGAAGAGGAACCGAACTGCTGTATGTTTTGTTTACAGTGTCTGTGCGAACCTCCCAATACAAAAACAAACTACTCAGTCTCAAGGCCGTCCGCGACCTTACAAAGGTCTCCCTCTGAGCGCAGGCGTCTCAGCGAGAGCTTGTACGGGAATGGAACAGTTACATCTAAGCTGCTGATACAAACCCCTTCACCGGCAGACGAAATGGTTTTAAAGTCATATAGACACGCACAAGCTCGTAGTTGATTATTATTATAATTATTGATTTCATTAGTATACCCCATTTCAGTTCATTAGATACCTGTGCATACTTGACACACAATGAATATAGAGATTTATCTTTAGACCATTTCACACTGCTGTAATTTAATATCAAAGGGTGGCCCAATTGTCTAAGGCGCCGTTGTGCAGAGTTGTGTCCCTTGGGAACGCCAGAAACCTACGATTGTGGGTTCGAATCCCGGTTCGTCCCGATTATGTTTCTATGTTTGTCAGCACCATACCCGTGCTCGTGGGTTTCACCGAAGTGGTAAACGTCTGAGACCTGCATCACTTCGGGCTTTCCACCTACATTAAGCTGACACGCCGTGATGTAACTGGAATACTGTTAAAAGCGGCGTTACACCCAACTCACTCACTCACTCACTGATATCAAAGGACTAATGGTAAACTCTGGAAGTTTACAGAAAATCACAAGTGGCTTTTTTATGGTTTTGTGTTTGACAACATGTCAATGATTTTTTTTAGTTTTACACACATTTATGTGTTCAGCTGGTCTGTATTGACTACCGATGTGTGTGTGTTGGCCAATATGCGTCTACGCCTTCCAACAGTGAAACCAGTTAAACCATGAGTTATTCATTATGTATGGTTTATCACTATTGAAGCTTTGGTCATATGTTGGATTTAAAGACGAATATTATTTTACTGACCAATCAAATACCGGCCAGTTAATTTCAATTGAAAGAGTTATCTCAAGGGGGCTTGCTTTACAAATAAGGTCTTAACGGGTTGGATGTGATGATGTTGTCAATGGTATTTGAAGATGTTAACATGGAAATGGCATTTATATGTATTGATCAATCATTCCATTGATAATGGATCAACATATATGTAATATATACCGCAAGTCTGTGATAACAAAATAACAGTTCTTTAATATGTGTGTTAACGGATGTTCATTGTATGTGTACAGTAGCGTAGTTCATAATAAGGTATGAAAACCGTTTCCTCTGATCCTGTGACAACTTTTACATACTTTCTGTAATATATTATTTCACTTTTTACCAAAAGTAATTACATCCAACAGAGAAGGTTGAAAAGCAAGGTACTCACACCCAAACCTAAGGAAACTACCATTGAAGTGCAAACATTTGCAAGCTATTGAATTCGAGTCCTTATCGATTACGTGTCTCTCATCTTTTCAAATAGGTTTATTAATGGACTTTGATATGGTCAGACTAATTACCAGATACTGATAGTGGCGACTTGTTCCTTTGATGACGTTCATTGGCGAACAGTTAACATGCAGGAACATGATTTGCACATGATCGCTTGCCTCTGTGTCCTCTACAACTCTGATATCTACACGTAATCATTGGTAAACAGCCATGACGTACCCGGCTGAATGACATGCTGGAGATATAGCTAATCTATTGGGTCAGGAAGAATTCGTAAACGTCTAGCAAAGTTTGAATAATGGTGTGATTTGTCGGTCTAGATAAGGCAACACCAAAGTCCACTGTGTCGACGGCAATCCTGTTGTCCAGGACGATGAAAATACACGACTGAAATACACGTCAACATATATTATATCGTCTCTTTGATGCTGTGCAAAGGTTATACTGTGAGTTCCACACAGATAACACACATAGTGTTTGTTTGACTGTTCTTATATTCAGAGGGGTCACATATTCATGATAAATAGTGAGTGAGTTGGATTTAACGCCGCTTTCAACAGTATTCCAGTCATAGCGCGGCATTCATGACAAATAATACTATTAATAATTACATGGAGCAAATGTTGAAGATGCTATATCAAATAATCAATCCTAAATCTACAGTAGAAATCATGTCTTTTTTAAGGCTTTAATATTGAGTCCTCCCAGCGTTCGACACGAAAGTATGCTTGAGAAGAACACAGCGTGTTTTAAGATGCGTATTAACACTGACATCTGATAAGCAGCTACGTAAAGGGAGTTATGAGTCAACTGATAATAACTAAATACACTCGAATATGCTGTTGCAAAAATCAGTGAATAAATAGCGTTGAATGCTGTTTTTAAAAATAGAAAATAATAATATGAACGCTTGTTAAACATTTTCCGGGTTCTGTCGTCGTGGATCGTATAGGATATCAATCCAAACAATTGTTTTCCTTTCCAATTGTTCCGTTACTTTGTTCCATCAGTATGATTACGTATTTCAGTTGACATAAAACGCTACAGAGTAATCAGTCTCGATTATCTGCAGAAAAAGGTTCCATACGACGTAAAGGCAAATTAGTAATGACAATAAAAGAATCACTGAAAATCAGTGATGACACCAGGTGTACGCGATTGCATTCTGAAATTCCTAATGTAAACAGAGAGGGTTTGTGGTGGGGTTTTGGTACATGTTCAGAGGCGTTATATGGAGGGTATATCCTATTGCAGGCGATTGATATCTGACAATATAAGGCGATGTCACTATTGTAGTTGTATCTTCAGTATTGTGCTCTTGGTGTTATATTTTTAACGATGTTGTATATTGTACAAATAAACATATGTGTCATTTAAATATTGTACTTGTTTTTGATGTATAAACAAAGTAGAGCATGATCATTTATCAGTACAATGATAATCATAATTATTGTACTGTTTACTGGAATCACATGTAACCTTAAGGAACTCTTCAGTAATGTTATTAACACAAGTCGGGTAGCCTAGTGGTTAAAGCGTTCGCTCGTCACGCCGAAGACCCGGGTTCGATTCCCGACATGGGTACAGTGTGTGAAGCCCATTTCTGGTGTCCCCTGCCGTGATATTGCTGGAATATTGCTAAAAGCGGCGTAAAGCCAAAAACTCACTCACTCACTATTAACACAACAATAACCCTGAAAATACACACACGATATTAACTGAACAACGAACAATCTGGAGAAAAGCGTTTGCAAGTAGCTCTGATTAAAGACTAGAATACAAACAATGTGAAATACGACCTGTCCCAACTATTATGTCTACCGTAATCCTCTTGTGACAGATCATTGATTTTCCTATTGGGTATCTAGAGGACCGGATTTACGGCCGTGTTCGGACAGCACCCTGTCATTCTCTTCAGTGTGAGAGGGGGTCTATGTGTCAGTTCGTTAGGGAGCATTCCCTGGAGACACAGGACTGTGAGATAAGGAACCAGTAATCAGCTGACCCAGATCTGTAGCAGGAACGTCAAACGCTGTACGAGATTCGAGTTAATGTGTCCATGGAATGTGCTGTCCGGTAATAGCATTCCCGGTTAATAAACTAACCACCATCTCTCTCCCATAGTCTTTGAAAACATGGTCATCATTCTTGAAGGATCTCTTCACCGTCAGGTCGGCTGTTTTCAGGGTCGGAAAGACATTTTACCACTTGGGTGAAAGCCACGAGCGCGGACTGCTAACTGCTAAAAATAAAGTCCACACAACAAAGTTTAAGTACGTACTACTTGAAAGAACTTAAAGCAGACAAGGGTGTGTGATTTGGATTTCTTTATAAAATATATGCTCCAGTGAGTGTAGAAGAGACTGGCTATCCAGGGCCTTGTACGAAAAGCTTTCTCATCACCACCACAACCACTGTCGTCAAGCAGTTTTGAAGTACTGGAGTTCGTTTTGAAAGACATGGAGACCAGATTCCCACAAGGCAAATTACGCAAAACGTGTAAGCATTTAAATGTTTTAAGTAGGCTGATACAGTTTCATAATTCTACACTTACATGACACACTGACCATTGTTAATAAAGTTAGAGCTTGGCGCCCTCTTGATGTTAAGACTATACTTACAGGACACACTGACCATTGTTAATATAGTTAGAGCTTGGCGCCCTCTTGATGTTAAGACTATACTTACAGGACACACTGACCATTGTTAATATAGTTAGAGCTTGGCGCCCTCTTGATGTTAAGACTACAATTACAGGACACACTGACCATTGTTAATAAAGTTAGAGCTTGGCGCCCTCTTGATGTTAAGACTATACTTACAGGACACACTGACCATTGTTAATATAGTTAGAGCTTGGCGCCCTCTTGATGTTAAGACTATACGTACAGGACACACTGACCATTGTTAATATAGTTAGAGCTTGGCGCCCTCTTGATGTTAAGACTACAATTACAGGACACACTGACCATTGTTAATAAAGTTAGAGCTTGGCGCCCTCTTGATGTTAAGACTATACTTACAGGACACACTGACCATTGTTAATATAGTTAGAGCTTGGCGCCCTCTTGATGTTAAGACTATACTTACAGGACACACTGACCATTGTTAATATAGTTAGAGCTTGGCGCCCTCTTGATGTTAAGACTATACTTACAGGACACACTGACCATTGTTAATATAGTTAGAGCTTGGCGCCCTCTTGATGTTAAGACTATACTTACAGGACACACTGACCATTGTTAATATAGTTAGAGCTTGGCGCCCTCTTGATGTTAAGACTATACTTACAGGACACACTGACCATTGTTAATATAGTTAGAGCTTGGCGCCCTCAAGATGTTTAGACTATACTTACAGGACACACTGACCATTGTTAATATAGTTAGAGCTTGGCGCTCTCTTGATGTTAAGACTATACGTACAGGACACACTGACCATTGTTAATATAGTTAGAGCTTGGCGCCCTCAAGATGTTTAGACTATACTTACAGGACACACTGACCATTGTTAACATAGTTACTTCATGACACTCTCTACATGTCAAAACTAAAATAAACATAGATACATTGACATTCCCTATATAGTTACACAGGACACCCTCCACATTTCAAGATTACACTAAACACGGGGACACATTGACATTCCCCATATAGTTACAGCAGGACACCCTTCACGTGTCAAGACTACACTCAACACAGGGACATTGACATTCCCCATACAGTTACAGCAGGACACCCTTCACGTGTCAAGACTACACTTAACACAGGGACATTGACATTCCCCATATAGTCACAGCAGGACACCCTTCACATGTCAAGACTACACTCAACACATGGACATTGACATTTCCCATATAGTCATAGCAGGACACCCTTCACGTGTCAAAACTATACTTAACACAGAGACATTGACATTTCCCATATAGTCACAGCAGGACACCCTTCACGTGTCAAGACTACACTCAACACAGGGACACATTGACATTTCCCATATAGTCATAGCAGGACACCCTTCACGTGTCAAGACTACACTCAACACAGGGACATTGACATTCCCCATATAGTTACATCACGACACCCTTCACATGTCAAGACTACACTTAACACAGG